GATGGAGTCTGATTAGACTCCAGTTAGGAAAAAAAAAAAAAACCAACAGTTAAAAAAAGAGAAAATTCTATATTTCCATGTCATTTGGTAAGTACATCCACACTAAGCTCCCTGAAATTCCAGATACAAAGTTTTTTCTTTCATGTGGCAGAAAGTCTAGAAAAACTAAACTTAACATGTGGTAAAACATATCAATCTATCTAGATAGGTACAAAATATGGGAGGGCTCACATGATTTTGGTGAAGAGGAAGCACTAGCAAGGAGAGAATATATCTGGCTGGTAGAGTGGACACAGCAGGCCTGCTCCCTCCACACGGTGCCAGCTGTTTACGAACTCAGAAGACAAGAAGAACTTGCTGAAGAAAGCTGACTTGAGACCTTAACTCACAGTTGAGCAGCAAAGGGTAAACTAACTTCCTACAGGAGGCCTGGGTGGGGAGTTCTTCCTGAGCCCCTATTTTCATCTGCATCTCTAGCATCTGTGAGTCAGAGAAGAGTTTACTACTCCTCGGTGGCTGTATCTACAGCCCAGGTTGCCTCACGGTTTCTAAGACCTTCTTTCCAGTTGCCTGTAACACAGACAAACTCTCATCATCCAGGTCAGGCTTTTCTGTGATCAAGCTGGTTGATTTACCTGCCTCATTTTCAGTGGGGACACCTACCAGGCAGAAGCTATATAGCAACATGCTTGTTCAATCTCAGTGGAAGAAAAAAGTCCTACAATTGGGGTGCTCCAAGAGCTGCAAACTTTGGAGAGGCAAAAGGCCCATGCACCTTGCCTGGCATGACCAACCAATGTTGCCCGACTGAAGCCCCAGGCTCAGTGGTCCCAACCATGGGCTGCCTCATCAGCCTCCTCTGCACTGCTTCTATGCTGATCACAAAACCAGAAGAAAACTACTCACTGTTGAGCTAGTTTTTTTGTCAGGTCATCAAACTCGATTGGCTTAGGAAAGGGTCAAGCAGAAGCCATAGCCAGCACAAAGAAAGGGGTTGATAAAGGAGGGGGAGAAAGGGGTGGAACTGCAACCTGAAGAAAGCAGACCAACTCTTGATTTGAAGTGCAGGGCAATTTCCCTTGATTAGGTCATCTAGGTTGTGAACCAATCTGTGGGGTGAAAAGGAAGAACCTAGTCTGTGTAAATATGAATACGTAGACAGAGCAGTGGCAATGTGATGAATAGTTCTTTCAGGCTTTGTAGCCTGAAAGAGAGCGCCTTGAGAATGAGCTGTAGTTAGGGCTGCCTGGAAGATGATGAGTGCAAATGTTTCTGCTTAATGAGCATGCACGCTCATTTGCTCATTTAGAAGAAAGAAGTCATAAAGGAAGGCAATAAGCCGAAACAAAACCAGAAATTGCTGTGCTTCACAAACACCTACCTGTTCATAGCTTTTGCAGTGATCTCATGCCTTGCAAAGAGGTGCAACAAATACAGCACTGGAGTGCCAGCACGTTCTGAGGATGAGGAATAAGCCTCTCTTATTGCCCTTCTCTTTGATTTGTAAGGCCTTGTCTAGGAATCACTAGATAACTGAGGTAAATGACTCTATTTTATGGATTTGTCTGTGTTAAAAAGCAGCGTGTTTCTTTCAGCAGTTGGTATCTCCTTTATCATTACAAGCATTACCCATTGAGGTCCCCTGTAGTATCTTCAGAAAGCCTTGATCTGGTCATGGAGGCTCAACATGCCAGAAGACAGAGACACGGCCAGAGGAGGAAAAAGAGAGACAGATTGAGGCGTTGAACACCAAGGCCACAGCAAACCTGTGACACGTTGGGGGCAGCAGAAAGTAGCTGGCATGACGTACACCTTCAACCACTTGCTCAATGTGTCTCCAAAACAAGATCAGGTCAGCAAAAATCAGTCCTGTTCTGTGACAAACATTTCACCTCATGTGAACTTACAAAATGCTCTTAGCCTGGAGACCAAATGGGGCCCACAGGCAGGACAATGTATATAAATACCTAGGGAAGGCTGGCGAGGAAACAAATGAACAGGCTCTAATTTTCTGCTGCAAAATTGGGCAGCTTTCATACTGTGGGAGACTAGAAAGGTTGAGTTACCCTGACGCCGGTACAGTCATTATTGGCTCAGGTTTTTGGCTGGCATACAAGGCTGACATTCCCACTCTAGAGGGGGCTTTACTGTAACACAGAAATTGGTAGGAAACTTCAATATGTTGTGCACCTCCGTAAGCTACCTCAGTTGCCTGAATTCCAGAACATCTGGAGACCAACCATGGTGACCACGTTGCCAAGCTGTCAGGAAGGCTAATGAACAACTTCACTGTAATTAAATGGTGTCCTCAGATGCTCTAAAATGAAAAACAAACAAACCCCAGACAATGTGTGCAGCCTGCACACGTGCACCATCCAGGCAGTGAAGTATTTCATATCACTTCCTATCAAGCAACATTCAACATTCCTCATGCCCATACTTACCACGGTGGAGGTGACTGGGGGAATTATCTTGCAACAGGCCTATGTATCTGAGGGCTAGAGAGCAAATTACAGGCTCTTAGTGTTTTCCCAAATATTTTCACATGCGCTCTGTTATTATCTGTATTGCATTACAGACTATCATGAGCCATTCGACTTTAACAACAGGCGACTTAAATTGTATGCTGGAGGTTGGAGAGCATTCATAGGAGATGTTGGCAGTAATAACCAAACACTGTGCCTTGCAAACATGTTCTCCTGAGGTCAGGGGAAGCTCAAGCTGCTAAGGACAACCTTGAGGCCTTCTAGATACCTGGAACCTGTCCATATCGACCTTTTCCTAAATTCTCCCAAGGATCTGAAACAACACATAGTACTCTCCTACCTTACTGCATCCAACCATTAGGGGTAGAAAATTATGAAACAGAGATGATCCTTTAACTAAGTGGTGAATAGGAGGTCCATCGCAGTGGAATAAATCGCATCCCTGGCTGAGTCAGAGTCCATTAGGTTCAAATGAGTATTGGGCCAGACGGATTTCTTCTCCCATTTAGCTAGTCTATGGTCAAGATAGAAAAGGAATACATTGCCATCAGTGAAAGTTGGCTGGCAACACTTTGAGGAGAGTCCCCTGTCTGACTGACCGCTACCAGCTGGAAATGTGCATACTCAAAAATGCAGGGACGTGAGTATCTCTTTCAAGCAACTGTGGAAAACATCTGTGAAGGCAGCAGTGTTCTCTTTTTGTAGCGCGTGTCATTTATTAACAAAACCTAAAATCCCAACCCCATTTTCATCCTATTGTTGAAACTGTTTCCTGTCCTAACCCCTCTGCGTCACTGTTAGAAACCATTGATATGGGTTGTAAACACCAGAAAGAACTACATTTCAGTAGTACACGAAAATAGCTCAGGTACAGCAGAATCTTGGTAAAATACAAAAATAATTGTTTTAAGTGCTTTAACTGCTATGATTTGGTAGCAGAAGCACTGCTGTAAAACAATAATCATACTTAAGCTTTTAGGTATTTCTTTATTATGTGGATGGTAAGTAAACCAATGCATAAGGTGACAGTACATGCTCTGAAGATCCCTTCACCGTTTCAGATCTTCATGGTCTAAAGTCTTTGACACAAGAGTCTTCTTTTTGAAGTGGTGCCTGCTATTTCAAAATGGTGTAAGTTACATTGCACATGGGAATTTGCAAATAGTATCCACGCAAAGAGAATGCCTGTTTTTTTTACGCTCCCATACCAGGCATTCATAAGGAACCTGCTTGCTTTGCACTACCTCAGAGAAGCACTTTGCTTCAATGACTTTCATTTTCCCAGCTCTGGGATTGAGATGGGAATACAGGCAGGAATCTGATGTGAAGGCTGCACACACCACGGCTAAATATTGCCATACAATAATGAAAGGGAATAGCTCCCTCCTCCCCCTCCTCCTCATAGTCTTTCACACAACCCTGAATCACATCTCATGTTATTATTTTAGAGTCTTTTTTTTTTTTTCCCAAATCATTTTACATCCTCTCTCTTTGGGTATCCCCAGTACTTTAATATCTAGTGTGTGTCTGATTCTGAACTGAAATTATGTATCACCAGGCACAGCTGCAAAACCACAAAACCAGTAAAAACAGAATAAGCAAAATTAACTGGGCATGGCTTAAAAAAATCCCCACCTGCGACAGAGCTATTCCTTTCAAGCAGGTAAGCAAAAATCAAGGCACCTCATAAACGTGAAACCTAGATTGGCTAAAGAAATTCTAACAGCTTCAACATGAGACATGCAAATGTGAGCGTGTGCGTTCATTTATTATGAGAAGTGTTGCTGCCTGAACGGTTTTGTGTGTGGGGGGAGACAAAACCGGTGACCAGTAAATTCCCTTCTGAGTACTCTAACAGTTGTTTCCCCTCCAGTTGGTCAGCACATTATCCTTTTCCTTGGCCAAAATTTTCAAGGTGTTTAAATTCAATTAATTATCATTTTTTTTGCAATTGTTTGGCCCAAAGAGAATGGATGCAAAAATGACCGGCTAGGTTTTTTGGGTGATTCAAATCATTGCAATTCTGCCACCTGGGCCGGGATGAAGCTGGATGACAGCAGCTGGGGCCACCGACTGTGGAAGGGGGCAGACCCGCCGGTTGGGAAAATAACCCCCGATCCCTGCGTGACCCCCCACCTCCCCCCGAGGCTGGGAGGGTTTGTCTGGCAACCGGCAGAGCTCCGCGGGGGGGTGCTCGCCTCGGGGCTACTTTGCCCTCCCGGGAGGAGAGAGCGGGAGAAGCGGGATTCCCCCTTGGGCTCCGGTGTCATCCCCGTCTGGAAAGATTTGGGCAGCCTGGAGGGGGTGGGTATCAGCATCCCCCCTCTCCACGAAGGCTCAGCGTGGCCGAGCCCCGTCGGGAAACGGCTTCTCAGCAGCCACCCGCGGCGGGGACACCCGGGACACCCCGGCCCGACCCCTCGGGGCAGGGTGGAGGCGGAGGAGCGGAGCGGGGGGTGATGCGTTGAGCTCCGCCCGCCTCCCCTCCCCCGGGGGCCGGCGGGGGCGGGAGGGGGAGGAGCTGCAGCCGGATCGCGGCGGCGGCGGCGGCTCCGGCGGAGCCCCCGAAGTTTGCGGTGCCGGCGGAGGGCGGCCCTCGTCGTTCAGTTCCCTCTGTCCCGCCGCTTCCCCAGCTCCCAGCGGGAGGGAAGGAGGGAACCGGCTCACCGGCAGGACGGGCCCCCAGCCCCGGCCCGGGACGGGGCGGGCCGGGCCGGGCCGGGCCGCGCCGCGATGAAGAAGCCGGACGGGAAGGTGGTGCTGCTGGGGGACATGAACGTGGGCAAGACCTCCCTGCTGCACCGCTACATGGAGAAGCGCTTCCAGGAGACGGTCAGCACCGTCGGCGGCGCCTTCTACCTCAAGCAGTGGGGGCCGTACAACATCTCCATCTGGGACACCGCAGGTGAGACCCCCGGCGAGGGGGTGGGGGGGTGTCCCGGTGTATCCCAGCCCCCCGGGCACTTGTGGGGTGTTTGTTTGCCGGCGGGCTGCCCCTCTTCTCCTCGTCCGGCGGCGGCGGCGCTCGCCCCTCCGCCCGCCTCGGTCCGGGGACTGCCCGCCGCCGCCGGCCGTGGTTCGGTCCCCGCGGCCCCGTGTTCTTCTTCTCCCCCACTTTTGGTTCGGCCCTGGTGTAAAAGCTGGTGGTTGGGGGGAGGCTGTGGCCGGGTGACCTCGCTCGGGACGGCTTCGCCTCTCCGAGGGCGCGGGAGATGGAGAGGAGAACCCCGGCCGGCACCGGGAAACCCTTCTCCCCGGGTGCCCGGCCCCTCAGCGCCTTTTATTTCGGTTCTGCTGTGAAGTCAGTCACTTAAAAGCAAATGGTTTGGCAGGAGAGCAGAGCCTGGAACGAAACACATCTTTGCCGGGCCAAGAAGGGGCCTTTGCAGCTGCTGATCTCTGGTATTTTGAGACCCGCTTTGCGAAAGGTGGATGCTCAGCAGAAGGTGGCCATGCCTTGTTGGCTTTGCTCTTGCCCGAGTAGGTGGGAGTCGGAGAGGTTACAACTTCTCTTCCTCGCTTCTTCCAGCGTGCTCTCTCCAATTGATGTCAGCTGGTGTCAGGCTCAGACTTTGGAAGGCAGGCACGCAGCTCATGGGCCCCTCAGACATGGCTTGCTCTCTCACCGCCGGGATAAGAGCCCACACATCAGGATTTAATGCTCAGGGAGCGTGGGCTGCGGGTGGTTTCTGTCAGGGATAGCAGTGAGGGATTGCCCAGCCAGCTGTCTTGTGGCCCGCAGCATCTCCGGGATGCAGGAGGGACCTCGGGTTGTGGTTTGGAGCCCTGGGGTGGAGAAGGTTGGGAGGGCACGGGCTGGAGAAGTGGTTTGTGGTGTTGGTCATATGACTAACTTGCTCTTGGTTATTAGGTCAGGAAGCTCTGCTCTGTCACACAGAGGGCTGGACTGCCCTGAAAAAAATGAGGTCTGTGAACATTCTTGCCTGTTAAGTTGGTCGTGGGAGAAATATCTTGTTCAATATTTGTGTTTTCACGTTTAGCTGAATTTTGTTAAAGTTTGTCAGGGGCGTTAATGAGGAATGCAGATCGTGTATTCTTGTGAAACTTGGGGAGCTACAGCATCGTGCAATATTCCAGTTTCCTCTTGGTGACGTTTAGGAGGGAAGTTCATTTGCTGTGTCACTTCATGTCACAATCTAGTCCAAAATGGCTTTTCCTGTGTCAGGAATAGAGAAGGAGGAAGGGGGAATGAAACTGCCAAAAAGTTATGCAGAAAAACTTTTTACAGGGAGGAGGAGATGTTTAAGAGCATTTCTTGATCTATTGCTATGATGAAAGTTCTTTACTGGTAGCTCTATTTTAAATACAGTTTCTATGTCCTTTGCAGATATATTTTTTTCTTAAATCTACTTTAGTTTTAGAATTGACATAATCTAGTGTGGGCAGTCTCCTGTGGACAATTGCTGCTTCTTTCTAGTACGCCAGGCCCATGTGGGTGATTTATGTGGGCTTTATTTCAACAGAAGAATTATCTTGATGAGATTGTTCTTTGGTAATTTCCCTTATGCCCTTCTGCTCTTTTTTTTTTTCTTCTTTTTCCTTTTTTAATCATATACTATAAAATAAGTCCCTCCCAGGCTTTGTCTTTTGGTTTTAGGGGCCTTCTTTTTCAGTTGTTTATACTTGTTGCAGTAGTTTCTTGTGTTAGTTGGGGATGGAGGTTCCAGCTCTACATGGGATCTGGAAAGCTCCAGAGGTGGTGCTCCATGTGCCAGGTGGTAACCCGTCTCGGAGCAACACAACCGTTCGGAGCTCATCTCCTTCCTAGCAGCTGGAGGCCCTCTGCACTCTGGACCTGCTCCTGCAGAACGATGGAAGTTGCCAAGTCCAGGCTTAGACTGTGGGCTCTGGTTTATTAACAGCTCTCATTAACCTTTTAAGAAATAACAGCTCCCAGGACACACATATGCTTTCTCCTGTCCTGATGAAGAAGGAAGGGACCCCGTGGACACTGCAGCTCTGTTGATGTGAAGTCAACAAGGGGATTTAAAAGCCTGCATTGTTTTTGTGTGGGGGTGGTTGGGTTTTTTTTATTATTTTTGTTTTGTGTGGATCTTATGCTTTGGCTGTCCACAACCTATCTGCCACAGTCCTTGGTCTGTGGCTCTTATCTCTCTGTGGTGTCACTGTCTTATCAGGTGTGTTCGAAGTAAGCTTGGAATTTTTGTAGTAAGGCAGAGTTTAAAATTTAGCTCATTTGTCTGTTTATTAACCTGACATTTCTTACTACTTAATTCCTGTGAGGCAGTTGCAAGGTCATCAGATACACATACGTTGTTTTCTCTAACTGTGTGTGTGTATATGTAGGGGAATCCAGAAAGAAAGACCATCCAGCAGATTAAAAATTCTTTAGCACGACAACATGACAAAAGTACGGTTCAATGTTTGCACTTGTGTTACCTGCCTAAATACTGAATGCCAGCTCAAGATGTCTGTCTTAGTACCCCAATAGTACTTTACAGGATCTGCAATGTAGCAATATGGAAGATCTGGCCTAGAAAATGAGAGGATGCTTGGCTGTAACTACTACACTAGTTCAGTATTCTAGTAAAATACACAATTATACAAGGTTAACTGGAATGCATGTTCTTTTAAAATTCTCTTAGTTTATGTTATATTTAATGTGTGAATGCATGTTGATTTTTGTTGTTGCTTATCAGCATTAGTTTGGGGACTGTTGTCTCCATAGGAGCCCCCTATATTTTACTTTCAGTTCAATTTGGACGGTTATTTACTATTCTGGTATGGGTTAGGCAGTTGGCTGTAACAGCCTTGATACACTGAAGCTTCATTCCTGTAACACAGAGTTTTGTTTTTACAAGATTAGACTTCAGTGATTGATGAGTATATCTGCAGTATCGGTGATGGATCAAAAGTTAATTATGCATGGATATTAGTAGTGCATCAGTTTAATTGTTAATCTTCTGAATTATTTAAAATATGTGTCATTTTCACTTACCACTTTGTTGATCTTGCATTACTTCTCACTCTGTTATTCAGAAAAATCTCACTTTTTTTTTTTTTTTTCAGAAAGAATTAAATCTACTTGCCAAAGTGCTTAAAATGTGTGTTTCTGTGTTGTTATCACTCAGTAAATCACAGAAGTGCATGCCTGACCTGTTCTACCAAGTTAGGTTTGAAGTGCAACTCGGTTATTCTTGGTAGGACTCTTCTCTTGGCTGTGCATTCACACTCCTCCTTATCTTGGAAAAGTCATCTACTTAGTCTAGTCTAAATCTTTCATGTTCTTATCTGCAAGTCTTGTAAAATGGGCCTGCAGAAGTTGTCAAGACTTGATTATTTTTTATGTAAATACAACAAATAGTTCAACATTTCCAGTCTTCCACTCTGATCGTTATGAGAGAAGTTATTTGGAAAATACATTCAACTCATGGAAACAAATGAACCACAGATGGAAGACTATTTGGAAGAAGTATCATATGCTTGCCATGCTTTTATGCTCTTTTTTTTTTTTCCCCCTAGCCATCTGCTTTGGACTGTTTCTCCATTGTCAGTGGCTTGGATAGATGGTCTTGTGTCTGACACAGCATGGCTGCTGTTGTATTCTTGGTGCAGAGAATTATTTATTTACTCCTTAGAATCTGATGCTACAAACTATATTTGCTTGTTTTCTGTTAAGGTCAGTTACTTCAAAGGAATTTAAAAACAAAAAAAGAAAGTGTAAACTATACAAAAAAAGGGAGCAACTGTAAATTTTAGCATATTTTAAAGGACTAGTCTGCTGGATGGAGGCCTGGTCTCTAAAGCATCTGCGTGTATGCTCTGAGACCTCCATAGTTGTATGTTTTGAAGTAGTATTTTTCTGAACCAAGGAAGGTGAGCAACACCATCAGCCAGAAGAACTTTACAGCCAGAACTTCACAGCTTTCTCATGTGAAAGGATTGGAGGTTGGAGACTCAGGATGTCAAAGCTATATATATGTATATGTGTGTGTGTGTGTATATATATATACACACACATATATCTATCTTCTAGGCAGTGTTGACAGCAACTGTGGAGTAAATCAAAACTTCCTGCCGGGTGTTGATGGCATGCAGCTCTGAGAGAGCTTGTGGCCTTTTATCTCAGGCAGTGCAAACATGTCCTGAAGTTCTGAGGGTCTTGGTCCTTTAAACATGGAATGCTAATCTGTGGTGGCTGCAGCTAACAATTTTGTGGGAGACTTTTGGATTTTCAGGCACATTTTCTGATGCCTTGATATTTTTAAAAGGAAAACCTTGTTTGTATGTTGGATTTTAGACTCTTTAAACTGACGTTTGTTCATCTGTTAAGCGGTGGCCTGGCAACAAGGCTTCTTCATTATTAGTGGTCATGTCCCCTGTGTTGCTGGCTTAGTATTAGAAGAGCCAACTGGTAAATTAATGACAGGTATTTAATAAAGTTCACTTCATGATGCTGTAAATGTATTTAAGAAAGAGGCTGGGTTTTGAACGTACCAACAGACAGTCATGTAGCGTTATAATGAGGAAACCTAAAGGTTAACTGGGAAAGCAAACTTCCCTTCTTTTCCTTCCTCTCATCTTGAGCTAGCTGTCTGCATGCAAGAACTGATTTGACTCTTTTCTTCTGTGAATATTGAGTTATCAGTTCATATTTTTACACCCTCCACCCCTTTACTTTGCACCTGCAGATTTTTGTTGGTGACTTTTCACTTGCCAGAGCTAGTAAGGACAGAGGAGATAAACATAGCCCGGAAAAATGCTTTTCTGTGGTGGGTCAACTGCAGTGTATCTGCATTGCCTACATCTCTGTCATTTCTTGTGACCGATTTGCTGATTGTGTGATGGATCGGTGCTGGTGAGCTTGTGTGAATTGCTCACAGTTTCTGATCTCTGATCGCCAGTGTTTTGTTGTCAGCAGTG